GCCTCTGTAAGTGGTTCGAAGAACCCATTCTGCTCCTCAGTAGCGCCATTATCCATGACGAAATAGCACACTGGCCTATGCTTGGCCATTTCTTGCTCCACTTCCCAATCGCTTATTTCGACCTCCACCTGGCGGTTGAACTCCCTGGGCAGAACTGAGACTATGTTCACCATGATGTCCAAAGTGTCATCAGACTCAGAACCATCTTCGTTATCAACTTCACCCTGGTTAGGCCAAACTAGCCTATTGGTTACTGGTTGTCTTTCCAGAGGTTTCCTTTGCTTTCTTTGAGGAACATTTGAACTGGATTCTGCCTTTGGTTCATTAGCAGCTTCCCTCTCAGCTTTTCGTCGCCTCTGGTATCTCCTCCATTGAGATCGAGACATGGGATTTTTCCCTTTGTAGTTGCTTGACACCTGTGTCGCTTTAGGGGTAGCAACCTGAGGCTCTTTCTTATGTATTAAATACGAACCTCTTGGCACATCGAAGGAGTGCCATCTTTCCTCGCTTGGCCTCTTTCGACCAGATGTCTTGTACCAAGTATCAACTGGCACATTAGTCGGAGGCCTGAAAGTCAGTGGCCTCTTTTCTTGATTTGAACCCCTTTGGGAGGCTCTTCTGGGGTCATGTCGAGTATCAACACTCTCCCTTTTTCTATTTGCCGCTCTTACACCTTGAATATGTTCAGCAGCTTTTTTGTCAAAGATTGAACTGCATCGAGGACACAGCATCACTTCTGACTTCTTTTTCTGGCATCTTTGCAGGAAATCTGCCAGATTTTCATTTTCCCGAGGGAAAGCAGTTTTGTTGGCTTGTTCTTGCCTCATGGCCTCCTCTGATGCTTTTGGTTCAGAGACTTCGACCATGTTGACATTCATGGTGTCTTTGTTGGCAAGAGTCAACTGCTTCATCTGAATCTCCAAGTCCTCTGTCTGGCCTTGAACTGCAGCCAAGTGAGAACTGGGTTTTGTTCCAGATTTTTGGGCTCCGACTGTCTCCAGCTTTGGGCTTTCGACCGCCTTCTGAACCGCTTCAATTGTCTTTCTGGATAGATTCCCAGAAAAACTGCCAAAGATTGGCATGTTGATATGGTCCTTTGAGACTTCGACCATTGTGATTCCTGGCCTCTTCGACTGGCTTCTGGATGCCTCGATCACGTTCACCTCTGAAGGTTCAGCATAATGGGCTTCAGCCTGCAACGGGTTAGAGTCAACAGTCATGGGGGTCTTGTCAGCAAACTTCAACCTCCCTTCTTCGATAGCGTCTTGCACAAGATTCCTGAAAAGAAAACATTGAGACGTTTTATGGCCCAGAAAATTATGATATTTACAAAAGTCTCTCTTCTTTCTTTGATCAAGAGGAGGCACTTTTACCCCTGGGGGTATTATCATTTGGCCATCTTTTACAAGTAAGTCAAAGATTTCATCACATTTTGTAATATCAAAACTATAAGTCTTTTTGGGGAACTTATCGTTGGTCCTTTCTGGACCAGTGGGATTTTTCCCACTTGAGGGGACCAACAGTTTGCAAGAGTATGGTGGCCCTTGTTTTAATTCCGCTAAATCGACCTCGCCTTCTTCGACGGTTATAGTTTCGTCGAAGGTTTCTGGATCTTCGTCGTCCATCTCGACATACGCTATCCTCTCTCTTTTATGAGTTTTCGTTGCCTTGGCTTTCTCAATTTTAAGGCGTTCAACCTGTCGAACTCTATTGGCCAATTGGGCCATGTCTCTCAGGTATTGAGTGTCTAACTTCTTCCTAATGGAATAATCTAAACCGCTTGCGGCTATTTCGACTAACTCATGTTCTGGAACTTGTGTGAAACATCTTGCTTTGAGCAACCTAAACCTATTTAGGTATTCGTCTATAGGTTCAGTGAAACGTCTCTTTACACTGGCCAATTCTTTCAGGCTTATCTTGGTTTGTCCCATGTAGAATTGCTCATGGAACAATCTCTCCAACTGGGTCCAATGATGGATCGAATTGGGGGGGAGAGTTGTAAACCAAGTAAAAGCGTTCTTTGTTAAAGAACTTGGGAAGTACTTAATCCTCAGGTTTTCGTTGTTTGAAATATCTCCTGCTTCGATTAAGTATCTCGCCACATGTTCGACAGTAGATTCTGTCGTGTCCCCAGAGAATTTAGTGAACTTAGGGACTTTACATCTAGGAGGTAAGTCTGTTTGTAACACGTATTCTGACAGTGGGGACGTGAAGTTGGGCCTACGAAAGCCCATGTTCATCCCATTTTGCGTCATGATTCTTTCGATCATGGCTGCCAGATTATTTTCCAAACCCATATTCTGGTATTGGATATGCTGAACTACTTCGTCAGCATTTTGGTTTCTGTTAACTAACCTTACCTCTGGGGCTATAACCCTAGGTTCTTCGACAGGTTGTTCCAATCGTGCCCTAAGGTTTTCTTCGACAGGCTGCTGGCCTTGGTTGATAGTGGTTTCTTCCTCTAAGAGTATACCTTGGTTTCCCCTTATTTGCGCCCTTTGGGGCTGTCGAATAGGTTGGGGTACCCCAAAGAAATCAGCCAAACGCGTCATTTGCGCTGTCATCTGCTGATTCGACTGGGTGGTGTTTTGTATTAGAGGATTCAGCACTGTACTTAAAGTTTGTGCCAACATTTGAACCATATCATGGTTGCTTTCGTCCATTTGTTGCCTCAAGACTGCTGTCGAGGCATTTGTAAGGCCATGTGCTACTTGGGACGTTCCTCCTAAGAGTTGGGTCCTATTTCTGTTCGCCATACCTACTCCAGAACCTTGGAGTGGCGAAGAGGCACTCACTAAAGGGTCTGAAAAAGTGGACGCAGCGTTCGTCAGGCTAGCCAAATCAGACGTTGGCATGCCATAGAGTGGTTCTCGATTTTGACCGCCTGTCATAAATTCTGGGGGAACATAAGGCCTTGTGCCTATATTTCCCCTTGGTGGGGGAGTTCCTAAAGGCACTCTGGGGCCAGTGAACGGAGGTAATGTCCCCGTCGTTGTGACCGTTACTGCTGGTGTTGAACCAGCGGTTATCGTTTCACTTACGGTTGGGATAACCGTTGATCCCACATTCGTTTGTGGGATTTCGTTATTGTTTGGCGGATTCGCCATTGCTTCTCTTCCTCTGGCAGTATTGGTATTGTTAGTGTATATTCTACCACTTCTCAATAACATGCAATACTTCTCGAAAAAGATGATATTTTGTATGAAAAGGTTAAACTTCAAAATCAACACAAGGTCCCATCAGGTGTGCCAATTTGTTTACCGTGGGAATTGGTAAATAACCGCTGATCTTCCAAAAGGTTACGTATTTGGTTACTCGCAGGATCGATCAGATTGATCCTAAGACATGGTTGATTTTGGGGTTTTGACTAAGTTTGATAATGGTTAAATGACAAGAAAATAAAGAAGCTTTATGTAAATTGCATGAAGAAGAGAACTTGATAAAATAAAAGAAGGCTTGAAATAAAGGCTTTCGACTGGAAAAGTATATGAGAAAGCAAGTAAAGTTTCTGGAAAACAAATGACTTTGATTAATAAAGTGGTGTTTCACACATACATTCTCAACAATTCTTTCTCACACGTTGGGTACTCGAATCTATATGAGTGACTTATATATAATTGTGAACACACGCGAAAAACTGCGTGAACTACTAATATTTATACTAAACACATCCCAAGTAAACGTCGGGCAGTTACACTGCTTCGAGATGACTCCACTTGGCACGTTCTCAGCGTTCGACGCTCCAGATCTTTGCACGTTGCACTTGGTAACCGCTGGGAACCGTTTTCCCTCCAAACGTTTGAATTTCAAACCGTTCCACTCTGAACAATCGAACACCTTCGTCGAGAAGCATCTTCGACGAGAAACACCTTCGACGTCGAAGGCAACCAAATTCTCCCTTGGAAGAAATCCTCTAAGTACATTGCCCTCCTCTGACGAACACTTCGACAGAACCAGCTGGTCGAAACCATCCTTTAGCTTTAATGGCGGATATTAATAAAAACATGGGTGTCGAATTTAGGAGCCAACACTGTCATACCCCAATTTGTGACCTAAGATCCCACCTCCCATCTGTGTCATTACATAGCAAGCGTTCACAAGCGATTCGACCCATTTTTGCCATTTTCTCGGGTCAGATTTCGAAATTCATAACTTCTTCGAATTTCGACATTTTTTTAGTGGTTCTTTTACACATGATTCTCCTTGACAACAACTACAACTTTTCTTTAGAAGTCAAGAGCTGATTATTTTTTGAAATGCCACGAAAAATGAAAACGTTAGAAGTCGCTTTATGAATTTAATGAAATTTGATCATGTCTTGTCCAACCTTTACCAAATCGTACATAGCGCATATTTTTTCCGTCTTGTATTTATCATTTTTGTCTTATTTGAAAAAAATCTAAAAAATGTATATTTTAGTTCATGTCACTTTTTACTATTGCATTATTAGAAAAATCACAAAAGTTATTTATAATTAGCATTATAGTATTTTAAATTTGCAATTCTTAATTCAAAAAATATCAAAAATATAGTTCATACCATTTTACATATTGCATTTTTATTTAATTAATAATTAGATTTGAAATTGAGTTTTCATTTCTAATTATTAATTGACTTTTTTCAGTTGCTTTTTGCTTCAATCATTTTTGCATTTTGCATTAATAATCGATTTTTGTCATTATTGTCTTACTAACAATTTTTTCTTTTTGTTACTTTATTGTTATTATTATTGTTGGGCCTTTTATCTTTTTGTCATAATAAAAATAGCAATTTTGAACTACTACTAGAGGTTCACACGGAAGACACAACTTTCATTTCAAAATGTTACTGTTACATTATGCTAAAAATGGCTAAGCTAAAATATACCAAGAAAAAGAAAGACTGTTTTAGCACTAATAGAGTTTCATCCAAAACTGGCCAAAATAGTAAAAAACGGGAATTACAATTGGCAAAATATGGAAGACAGGTTGCTACACTCCAAAAAAAACTACTATGCTATGTTATTGCTGTCCACACAAGTCCAAACTACTGCTATTTGCTGCTCTAAAATCTTGCCTTGTCCCTATCTTTGAGGTCCAAATCAACCCTGCTGCAAGATGCCAAAAACCTGTCAAGCTAGGCCAGATTGCACAAAAATGGTTAGACATTCTTACATCCAAAAAGCATAGATCAGAAATGCTCTTAATGGACTCAATTCCCTCCCAATTTTAATCTTGAGACTATATAATTTAGAGCTTTATCACAATGAGGTTGGACCTTTTTTTTAGAGAGAAAATTCGAGAGGAACAAAGAGATATTTTTTAATCAAGAAAACCAAAAGAACAAGAAAGGAACTTACTCAAGTGAAGCAACTGGTATTTCTTTCAGGTAATACAACTCCACCATTTTGAGTATTTTATCTTTGAGCTTCAACTTGACCTGCATTTTGTATCAGTCCATAAGTAGATTTCATTTAAGTAGGATAAGGCTTTGATGGTGAGATGAAAAGTTCGAAGACATATTTTACCTGATATGCATTGTTATCTGTTGTTTGCTTCAGAGAATTCATTTTTCTGAATCTGATTAATACACCGATGAAAAGCTCAAAGTAAAACTAATATTGATTTAGTACTCTTTAAAGCTGAGGTGTTATGCTTACATTATCTTCATATCACTGCTCAGCTGAACAATTGAACATGGAAACTTATAAGTCTAAAGTTACGGAAACTTGAATTAATAAGGGGTATGTTGTTGTTTGTCTTACCTCTTTATTGTGGATCATAACTTTCAGCACCTGTAATCCCTTCATCTTCCTCTACTTCCTTCAACCCACCGATCCTTCAGACAGACCCGAGTACTCCCTTCCTGTTTCCGCCAAACACACCACAAAACCAAAACAACTAGTAGTAAACTTATCTCTTCCACTACTGCACAAAACAAAAAAAGAGATAGCAGTATTTTTTTCAATTCCTCACTAACAGTAATACTATATTCAATTTCTTTCACCATCTTCTTCGCTAAAAAAGCAATTACCATCCCACTTCCCTTCATCTCTCCATTCCCTACCCTTATCTTCATCTTCACCTAATGTCCACCTTCATCGTAACCCATTCCATTAACCAATCGCCTTCCTCCAACCTCTCCCTCTCTGCCAACTGCACTCACCCAACAGAAACCAGCGGCTTCCTCACACACAACATCAACTTGTTAACTCCCTTCCATCGCCAAGTTATTCACAACAACTAGCAGTAAACCCATTCCGATTCTGCAAGCACCCTGTTTGCACAGCACCAACAATAACTTCAAATCACCACGCCGCATCCACTTTCGTCTCTAAAAACCCCATCACACTCCTCTTTTCCGCGATTGCCATTGACTTACCCGGCTACCCACTTATTGAACATAATCTAACCCTAACTCGTCAACAACGCAAGAAGGGGGGCGATACTCCGGTCGCAGATCAGAAAGAATGGAGGACGATTTTGAAATGGCGGAAGAGATGAAGAAGTTAGGATTTCCATGGCGAAAGTGTGAGGATCGGGTTTGAGGAAAGGTTTTCGTGGAGGTTGTGGCATTGATTGAAGGTTGCGTGGCGCGGTTGAGAAAAGCAGAGGGAGGAGAGTTTGTCGATTTGAGAGAGATAGGATGAACAGAGATAGCATGGTCAGCAGTAGAGAGAGACGCGGTTGAGAGAGAAGAGGAAGGTGACGGCATTGATACTGATGACAGAGAAAGGATCGATACAATCTTTAATATTTGTTTCAATTTTTCTATTTAATCTATTTTATTGGAAAATGATATAATAATAACAATAATAAATCTGATGTTCCCTTTACAATTCCAACAAGCAGCGGCGGCCAGCTTAGCATTTCTAGGGTTTTGTTCAGCTTTATTTTTTTTCGGTTCTGGGCCTTCCATGATCCGATCCAATTTCCTCAACCATGCCCAGCTTTTTTCCAACTTAAGCCTAATATGTTGTTTCTCTTCATCATTCAGCCCCAACGAATTAGTACATACACACCTCCATTTACTACTCATCTCAGGCCCATAGTTTGTAGTTTAGTTGAACTTGTTTGTAATCGTGGGCCAATCTATTTTATTCTTGTTTAAACCCATTCTAAATTGCTACTCCCACCCTAATTTTATGTTTCACACTTCTTTCTATAATTAACTTAATTTAGATTTAAATTAGTTTAGTTTAGATTTAAATTAATAATTATATGATTAATCTAGTTTAGATCTAATTTAGTAATTTTAGAATTCTAATTTATTTTAGATTTAATTTATTAACTTTAGAATTTTAAGTTAGTAATTTTATAATTTTAATTTAGTTTTAGTTATTAACTTTAAAATCTTGTTTAGTTTAGTTAGAAACTTTAGAATTTAAGTTTAGTTTACTTAGTAACCTTAGAATTTCAAAATTAGTTTAGATAACCCTTTAATTACATTTTTCTTTTATTCATGATTCTTCTTTGTACATTTATTTAGTTTCTTATAGTTTATCTTGTCACTATTCTCCTTGTTTGTTTCGTTTGGATTTTTAATTACTTATATATGATTCTTGCTCGATTACTAGACCTACTTGCTTATGATCAACTCCAAGGGAAAGAATTAAATTTGTTGACTTCATGTCATCAAATATATCTTACACGATCGAGCGAATACCCCCATTCATTAAAAACATAGGATAATTTTCCCAAATATCTAATTTCTTCAAAAAAAACTCACACCTTTTAAGTCAAAACTTCGACATTAGGTCTTCGTATCTTCAAAAACTCGTCCATACCCATCTTCGGCCAAAACAATTTATTTTTAATCAAACGAACATTTTAATAAACAGATATTTCAAAAGGTTCCTATAGAATACTATAGATACATTGGGTGTTAATACCTTCCCATTGTATAACCAACCCCCGAACCATAGACCTCTTTTCAAAAACGCCTTGTATTTTCATTACTTTTAAAAGTATTATTTACATTGCATACTTTAGGGTTTTATTTCGCTCTTTCCCCTTTTCCCTTGGAAATAATAAAGCGCGGTGGCGACTCTTGCTTTTGTGAGACAAATTAATTAATAATTCAATCTCCGATTTACCCCGCTACATTTTTTATCGCTACATGTTGTATGATGCGTATGCATATCGTGATGTATGGAAATGTGATGTTTTTAGCTGGGGAAAATAAATCCTAGGTTGTTGTTGGAGAAAAGAGTTGAATGCTTCGTTTCTGCTGGGGATAGTGAATGAAGATGATTGTGAGAATAAACCTGCGGGAGAGGATAACTCCGCTGGGGAATAAACTGATGAGGAAATGACTCTGTGGGGCGGTCAAACTCTGCTAGAGAACCTATTGATTTGGAAGAATAACCTCAGCCGGGGATGAATTACCGTTGTTGGCGATAATAAACTATATTGGGGATTGAGTTTCTGTTTGTAAAAGGAATGAACTCCGCTAGGGATGATTTTCCAGTTGCGACTTCACTGGGAATAATCTTTTAGACTTTACTGGGGACAGTCATCCAGACTCTACTGGGGATAAATTTTCAAACTCCACTGGGGATAATTTTTCAGTGCTGATGGTAGATAAACTCTGCTTGGGGAGATTATCGCCGACTCATTCGCGGTTGCGAGCCTCAGTTGGGGAGATTTAACACCATTGTCCTTCTCTTACTCTGTGGGGAGTGAATGTTCCTTGAGTCGTATTCTCCAGTTAGGTTTATCACTATACCTGGTGGATAGAGCAACTGTACAATTTGGACATTTCTTATTTTCCCCTATTTTTGATATTACGAGTAATCGTCTTTTATTTCGCATGTAAATATTCATGAGCAGCAATTAATGTCAAATGCATATATCAAAAACGAACATTGGACGTTCTTGCAAAACAAACCAGAAAAAGAAAACAATTTGAAATTTCTTTGTGAAAATGAATTGTATTGATTTTGAAATTAGCCTGTAAATAGGCGTTTTTGTACAAGAGGCTGGCGTCCTAGTAAGAGAACGCCGTCAAACAATAGAATTTATACAGTTTGTAAAAAAATAAAGAAAACAGCTAAGTGAACAATCCCACTGGGTTCCAACTCTGCTATTGCCCTTATGTCTTCGAGCATCTCATCACTTTGCTACTTGGTTGAAGGCAAGTCAGATTGACTAGTGTTGTCCGATCCTGATAGTCGATACTGAAGTCTGATCGCAAGGTGATCCAATGAGACATAGTGTTACGCTTTGATCCCTAATTTTTGCCTGGACCGCCCTTTCGGGTTTTCAGTCCACCAGGATACCCTTTTTTGCCCAAGCCACCTTTTCAGGTTTTCGACTTACCGGGTGTACAGAATTTTCATTTTCATCCCTTATTTTTGCCCGAACCCTTTTGGTTCGCTGGGAAGCCCTTATTTTTTCCTAGACCAGTCGACCTAGAGGGTCTTTGATTATGCATCATATTTTTCACTATGTCTGCATTGACGGGGTGAGGAAGGTCGTCACCATCCATGGTGGTTAGAATCATAGCTCCTCCTGAGAAGATGTTCTTAACCATAAATGGCCCTTCGTACGTAGGTGTCCATTTACCCCTGGGATCACCTTGAGGTAGTATGATGCGCTTGATCACCAGATCCCCAACTTGATACTCTTGTCGTCTAACTTTCTTGTTAAATGCCTTGATCATCCGTTTTTGATACGTCTGACCATGACAAATAGCAGTAAGTCTCTTTTCGTCGATTAAGTTCAGCTGACCAAGCCGGGTCTGGATCCAGTCGTTCTCGCTCAAATCTGCGTCCTTCATAATCCGAAGAGAGGGTATCTGAACTTCAATGGGCAAGACGGCCTTCATGCCATATATCAAGGAATAGGGTGTTTCCCCTATTGACGTCCGCGCTGAGGTACGGTACCCATGAAGAGCAAACAGTAACATCTCGTGCCAATCTTTGTATGTCACCGTCATCTTCTGCACAATCTTCTTGATATTCTTATTAGCCGCTTCAACAGCCTCATTCATCTTCGGCCGGTAGGGAGAAGAGTTGTGATGCTGTATCTTGAACTGTTTGTAGATCTCGGTGATCATCTTATTGTTGAGATTTATACCATTGTCTGTAATGATCCTCTCCGATACACCGTATCGACAGATCAGATTATGCCGAATAAACCATGTCACGACATTCTTGGTTACTGTAGCGAAGGAAGCTTCCTCAGCCCACTTTGTAAAGTAATCAATCGCTACGAAGATGAAATGATTCCCGTTGGATGCAGTAGGTTTGATCTCGCCGATCATATTGATGCCCCACATTGCGAAATGCCAAGGAGATGTCAAGACGTTCAGAGGAACTGGAGGTATGTTCACTTTATCAGCATAGACTTGGCATTTGTGACAGGTCCAAGAATGCTGATTACAGTCGGCTTCCATAGTAGACCAATAATATCCTGCCCGTAGGATTTTCTTTGCCATGGTGTGTCCACTGGAATGAGTTCTGAAAGTACCTTCATGTAACTCCGCCATGATTCTTTCCGCCTCGCTCTTATCCACACATCGCAGTAAGGTTGAATCATAGTTACACTTGTAAAGGATGTTGTTGTACCCCAAAATTTTCCCTCTCATGTTTTCCAAAATCTTCCCCCTGCATGGTTGATCACAAACTCTTGCCTAAGGAAAAGGAAAATTTTTGAGTGGTGCTTTAAGTACATTTCGATTGGCATTCTGAAAGACCCTTCAATTAGCATTCTGAAGGAGCATTTCGATTGGCATTCTGAAGGAGCATTTCGATTGGCATTCTGAAGGAGCACTTCGATTGGCATTCTGGACAAGCCTTTCGATTGGCATTATGGACAAGTATTTCGATTGGCATTATAACAGTGTCCTTCGATTAGAATTCCAAAAGTTCCATTCGAAGAGGCATTCAAAGGGTCCATTCAAAGAAGCTTTCGAAAAGCATTCGAAGGAGGCCATCAGCCCATTCGAAAGGGAGCATTCGAAGGGTGCCATCAGCCCATTCGAAGGAGGTCATCAAGAGGGTACTCAAGTCAAAAGCGTCCAGGTTCATTCAAGAGACACAAATGTTTCAAAAAAGGAAATTATTTAATTTGTCTGTTTCTTGTCTCATGGCATTTAATGGCCTGTTTAATGGCTGTCTCTTGCCATTACTGCACCTTCACACCCTTATAAATACAGGGCCAACATACACATTACAGGGGACGGAAAATCATAGAACGAAAATATACAGAGAACTCTACAGAAACAAAAACATTGGAGAAGGTGCTGCCCATACAATCCATCAAAGGTTGTCAGATTTTCCAAGCCAAAGCAGTCCTTCAGATCGAAGGTGCCCACGTCCAGAATCCCTCAGATCAAAAGTTCCTATATCTAGGAAGTTCCCAGATCGAAGTTTCCTACATCCAGGGAGCGCCCAAATCAAAAGTCTAATTTGTTGGTAAGAAAGGGTAAACTATCCAACCTCATATTTGCATAATACATACATACTGGTTGTTACTTTCGATTTTCTATCCTAGACAGGATCAAGAGGCCTGGGTTTGGCACCCAAGTCATGTTTTTTTTTCGTTTGCTAACATTCGCTGCAGCCATAGCCTGAAGAGACCCAGCAAGCGCAGGATCGAAGGGCCTGGGATTCAATACCCAGGCCCTGCATTTTATTTCGCTCGCATACTTTTGCAGGTATAACATCCCAGATCGAAGGAGACACCTTCTCTAGATCGAACCCATTAGCA